AGAAAAGACAAAAGACAAAGAAATGTCTCAGCCTCTTTACCCGTAACCCAGAGATAATAATAATGTTCACATTTCCCCTCAACAGGAGGTGATGTGAGGCATCAAGGTTAGTACAAAGTCTGCCTGTATTTAGTGCCTCACGAACAATAATTTTTCTTTGACAGAAATAATTTTGAAAACCTAGCTCCCAAAATGAAGAGGGAAAAATGGTAACTAGAGGGAGCTGTAGGATCGAGAGAGAGAGAGAGAGCTATTTTTCTTTCCCTGGTCTTTTTTCATATTATGCATTATATAACAGAGTTTTTACAGCTGTTTTGTCTGTGATCCAGCACCCATTTCCGGCTGGCAGTTGAAAACCACTGATACAAATGATAAAAAATATGGCGTAAAATTTGAAATTTGTCTATCTTCGGCATTTAATTCTTGATTTTTCAGATTGCAATATTGAGGACCAGAGAAGAGGGTAGCTGGAGATAAAGCAGTTTCAGAGACAGGCTGAAAACTGAAACAAGCACCTCATCTAAGACCCAGCGTTTCCCTATGTTACCAGCATTTAGAAGTTCAGCTGCTCGAACTCCAAAAGTGGGTCAAAGAGTGCAGGTACAGGGCATGCAAGTAAGAACTGTTCGAGTCCCTGGCTCTCTAGGAAATCCGAGGGACTAGAGTCTCTTAGGATGAAGACAGAGACAGAGAGCCCCTCCTGGGAGAGTGACAAGATTCCAGGAGGTTCAGTGCTGGGGGGAGGAGGAGAGCGGGGTTGATTGCTCAGTATGGCACATTGCCAGTTCCCAGGCAACCTAGGCCCATTCACAGTGCAAAGGATCCCTGGGAAAAAGAACATTAATGTACATCCATATGAAGAGAATTCAGGAAGCTGTACATTTTCAAAGTCTGGGCCAGGACCCTGGCAGGCTGGTTGTATGTTTGTTTGTTTGTTCAATACGTATTTCTGAATAGGTCAAACAGATGCACTTGTTAGTCTCCTGCATACTTGACGGTCTTGGAATTAGAATCTTTCACTACTTTGCATTTTACTTATGAAGCATGGAGTAAGTTCCAATTGCATTGACCTTAGGCATAAAATGAACCAATGCCTGGATTTGAAAAATATGGGTTTAATCCAAGCCAGATCTGGCTAAAAGCACCGTATAACCTAAGATTGAGCTGTACTGGTATTGCAGGCTGAATGTTTTAAAAAATGCAGCATGTTAAAGGGTTGTATGTGCAATCACCTGAGTACTCTCAGTGGTCAACTTCAAATAATTGCAAATAATCTCTTGGTTTTTGTTATTTTTTTGTCTTCTTTTTTGGTAAACTTTTAAAGACTTTCTGGAAAGAATTACTCTTGCAAAGCTTTGAGTAAAAGATTTGTTAGCTTCTGCTGACATCTTTTTATTCAGTTTTTCTAAAATGGGAAAAATATTCCTGATTTGTGGAAAACTACTTCTGAATTACTTTAGAAGACGCCTTCAATATCTCCAAGTTTTGAGTTCTACCTCTTTTTGCTAGGGATGTTTTTGTTCCTTTGGTCATGGGTGCCTGAGAAGCTCCAAATTTATTCAACTAGGAGTAACAACTATCCTTGACTCATTCTGTAGCTTGTAGACAACCAACACATAAACAAGAAGCTATGTGATAAGCAATGACAACTGTGAGGAAAAGAACTAGATAAGTTTACTGAGAAGAAAGGAAAAGGCACACATGTCACAAGTGGTGGCAGATGAAGACTTTCAGGAGCTGCCTTTTGGATAGTTAGAGATCAAGTTTCAGGGGGACAAAGCATCCCAGGAACAGGACACAGAAAGTACAATGATCCTGACATAGCAGCTGTGTGATGAGTTGGAGGAACAAAAAAGAAGATGAAAGAAAGCAGAGAGTGGGAGAAGTGGGAGGAAGTAGAATCTGAGGCACATTAAGCTTAGAACACGTGAGGCCTGGGAAAGCTACTGTGATATTAAAGATATGTATGCAGATATATGTATGTACAGAATGCCCCAAATTTTATATATATTAGTTTGAGCCAATTTTTTAATTAATGTTATATTATATACTGATCATATATCACATTACTATAGTCATATTAATTATATGTAATTAACATTTACATTATAATCATATAATATTTAATATATAATTATATAATATAAATAGCTTATAATTAATAATTTACTGATATTATAATCTTGATCTAATTTTGTTAATTATTGACACTTATTAGACTTTCTCGGACCAGTCTTTATCCCAATTTTGTCCTCCGTGAATGTCAGTGATTTTCAACTCAATGAGATAAGTCGCAGATCCCAGTAGAGAAATGGTGACAATTTCTGGGCCTCCCATGTAAAAGCCTCAGCATGGCTAGTATGAAACTTAATCATGTGTCATTTCGGTTTTGTTACTTCTGAACCCTTAGTGCTGATAATCTGATCACTGTCATTCTCTGGGTTCAGTCATCAAAACCCTTCCTCTGTTTTGGGGTTCTCTGCAGGATATGAACTAGGACACCACCCCTCCCCACAATCAACCATTTAAGAAAGAAAATGGGAAAAAGAAAGCTACAGCATTGACTAACCAACATTGCTACATGGAGGCAAATATTATGAAACAAGCAAAATAAAACTGAATATTAGCACTGTAGCACTGTCCTCCCGTTGTTCATCAATTTGCTCGAGTGGGCCCAGTAACATATCCATTGTGAGACTTGTTGTTACTGTGTTTGGCATATCGGATACGTCACAGGTAGCTTGCCAGACTTTGCTGTGTGGGCGAGATACTCTCGGTAACTTGCCGGGCTCTCTGAGAGGGGCAGAGGAATCGAACTCGGGTCAGCCTGGTTGGCCGAGTGTAAGGCAAACACCCTACCGGATATGTTACAGCTACAGCCCAAAACTGAATATTGTGGATGTATTATGTCAGTATCTCTGCTGTTTGGGAAACTTGGAAAAAGTTTCAGTGACTGCCAGAATCAGCCATCAGATATGTGCATTTAAGCTCCTGTTTTGCTGGTCCTGACTCTAGACCTCAGCCGGTCAAGCACATTTGAGAATCCTTACAGGGTCACCATCTGTCATGGAGGAAATGCTATCAACCTTTAAGTTAAGTCAAATAGCCTTATTGATTAAGAAGTAAAAATTAATGTGCTAAAGTATCTTGTCAAGCACCCCTGGAGGTGCCATGTACTCGGACCCTAACATTTGGCCTTCCAGCCCAGTTGTCACAGTATCTCTAGGGGTAGTTCTTTGGCAAACTGAGAACTTCCAGTCCTCCCCTGTCCCCCTTAAAAAATAAAGAAGTCTGTTAACTTTTGTTAGATGTGTTTACACATCGAGGGATCCGTTTTAATAAAGTAAATTCCACATTCAATGATATCCACTAAGTGAGGTGCTATGCAATGGAGTTTTGTGTATATAAATTCACTGTTGAAAAATAATGGTTATGCAGAAAAAAATATGCAGCCATTGAAACAGTACTCAGTCCTTTTGTTAAGAAGAATTCTTTCATCATCATGTAGGTCGGTTTTTATTTTTCAGGGTTTCAAGGATAAAGGAGAAAGTCTATGTTTAGAAATTGGCTTGCAATAAAGTTATTTTTCAGGATGCAAGAACGCTTTGAAAAATAAAGAGGCGGTGCGAGATTTGATGAGGAACTCGAACGTTAATTACATTCTTACAAAGACAACTCTTGACAAGTGTGCTCCCTCACCCACTCAATAAACACTGGCGTTGGGTAAGACTGATGAGTAAAATGATTTCTGCTCACACGTTAGCATGGCGGCAGCCGGGCCGAGGAGGCCAGCAAGAAGCAAAACAAAAATCAATTTTCAAGGCAGTGCCTAGTTGAAGTTGGAGAGAAACTTGCATTGCTAATGCAAATGCAATGACAAAGTTAATGCAGAGTTCCAGGAGATGCCTGTTATCCATCTCAAATTTCCCATCCCTTGTTTCTATTTGTATTCATGGGATTGGTTTATAAGGAGAAAGGGAAGATCACAGCCATTTTGTTTGACTCTTGGAACTCTCTCTGTGGCAGGAGTGAGAATGCTCCCGTTTTAGCAGAACCTTCTTGTTGGACTTGTACTCCAAGCAGATTCTCCAAAAGATTCCTTCTTTGGTGGGTTTTCTGTCTGTTCCATTAGTTTTTTGGGGGAAAGGGTTGGCCCCAACAGTGTTCAGGGTCCATTCCTGTGTTAGGAGTGACCCTTGGTAGTGCTCTGGGGACCATATGTGGTTCAGAGGATACAAACCAGGGTCAGCCACATGCAAGGTCAGTGCCTCACCTCCTGGGCTATCTCTCTCTAACCCATGTTTTATTTGTTCTCAAGACTGCTAAAATATGTAGTGCGAATTCCAGTTTTCACCATTCTGAGAATTCTAGTAGTTTGTCTTTGATCATCTGACTTATGCTTAAATAACATATTTTGAATTTTTCTTTTAGAAGATCAGTAATTCGAATCATCAGCTGAAAAAAATTAAATAAACTCTCATGGTTTATAATTATTGTTGATGAATTTCATGTTGTTGGTAAACACAGATGATGGCAATTATGGGATAAGACTGATCTAAAGAAAATATAAAAAACAGAAACATGCAGGTAATACAAGTAGTTTATTTAGTACCGCATTATTGGGTCAGGCTGGTGTGATGGAAAGACATATTTAGACCTGGGTTTAGTCCCAGCTCTGCCTTCTGAGGTTAAACAACTAATTTAATTAGTCTCTTTCACAAGTTAAACTTTCAAATGTTTGAGGATAACATCTCATGCATGAGTTCCTTACATACATTAAAATGTGGCCACTGCTATATATACAATATTTCTTAATCCTTTAAATTCATATAAAGACAATAAAGCTTGTAACAATTTTATTTACGAGCATGGTCACTTAAGACATCTCACATAAAGCATACAGAAGAGATAAAACCAAAAATGTGAATGCCCTCAGATATTTGATAACACATATTTTTATATGTATTGTTACATTTTAAAGTAGAGAAAGAGTTTACAGGCAACATTTGGAAGAGGCTAAGATGGGTTTTAAGACTGTTACTAAGATAAACATCTCGATTTGCAAATTGTATTTGCAATTAAACTAGAGGATTACAGCTAGTGTGCACAAAGCAAAATTATAGAATGAGAAAACAATATATGGAATTTGTATATAAATTAGGAGGTTTAAAATTAAATTTGTTACTCTATCATTTGTAATATGTTTAACTATATTTGTTATCAGGTATATTATCTAACGCTTGGGATTTGAAACAGAAAATTTCTGAAAAGAGGAAGAATTATGCACTTAATACCCTTTTGATCGAAGTCCTTGGTAGAATTTCCAGAAACTGAAAAGTTGCTTCAAAGCATTTTCCTAAAGTTGCGTTTCCTTGCCCGGCCAGTAGCTGGGTTGTAGCGAATGATCACTTGTAGCACAGTTTTCCTTCTTGACTTTTGTAGAAGATTTGTTCATTGTTCTTTCTCTCTTGGTTCTAAAGCTTCTGTGTTTTGAAACACAATTTTTCTTTAAAGTGAGAAGTACTGCAATACTTAGGAAAATGGACATTGTGCCCAGAATCACAGTTAGTCCCAGGTATATGTGTCTAGAAGAAGAAAGAATCTCAGTCATAATTATTGCACGTGTCTGATTTTAAAATATGAAAGGAATAATTCATATAGTACTTCCATAAAATGAATAATTATGAATAAAACCACCAGGAGGATGATTTTTTAATAATTCCCTCTCACAGGTCACTGGAAGTGACCTTCCTGTTGGCCGTTCTGTGGGTGAGATGCCAAGCCTGATTTGGAAACTTCCAGTTCAGTGAAAGACATGGAGACATGTTCCCGACTGACTGGGAGCCTGGTGGTGATACCACTAAGTCTGATGAAGACCAAGAATATTTCTCTAAGAAGAAGAGAGCCCCAGGTCATATTAGAACCCAGCTGCAGTGGGCAGCCACAAAGGAACAAACCTCTGTTGCTATTGTCATGCTTAAAACATGAGACTTTAAACTCTGCCAGATGTGATGTGGGATTGGAACAGTCCCACAGGAGTTGGGAGGGGCCGGTCTGTCTTCCCTTGGCAAGAATAGCACAAGTTGTACTGTGGGACAAGTCAAGTGATGTGTATAGTAGACATCACCTTAGACTTTTTGTAGCGTCGGTTAAACTTGAACTAAGGGGGTGGGGGAGAAGTGCCAATATCATGGCTATAAAAGTCATATCTGTGAACATTTGACACACTGTTGAAGGCTAATATAAAGCATTTTGAATAATTCCACCACTGTGAGTTATTAGTAATGATATCATCACCTCCCTTTTATCTGTAAATTATTCCTTTAGATCAGGGGACCATCCTTGTTTGTTAGAACAGTCCCAGCTTTGGTCAGAATTGTCCAAGAGTCATTTTTTTCCCCCTTCATTCTTAGAAGTGCTCATGTTTGAACTATGTGGGCGCCTTCTCATTAAATGTACTAATTCCCTCTGAAAAAACTTTTAAAACGCCCTGAAGTTGGCATCAGGGTTTCAGTAGAGCATAATGAAGAATGAACCAGTGTGAATCATTTTCTACCATGAAAAGCCTTTAGATCTACAATCTACCGTAAAACAGAAAGGTACGGGATGATGGCTTGAAAGACTCACAGACTCTTAGCCTCTGATTGAGTGAAATTGGTTTTTTTTACAATAAAATGAATACAGCCTTAGCAAATGTGAGTAGTGTAACTCAAATTCTATTCACAGATCCAGACCCTTTTTGAGACCCAAATAAAATTCTCACATCACTTCAAAGCCTACTTAAGCAAACTCATTTGAGATGGTGGGTTCAATTTACATCCCACTCCTATGGGTCAGCGTCAGTTTATTTTTCTAAAATAAATTCTCAGATTGTCAGAATTAAAAAAAAAATAAAACAAGAAACCTCCACTCCTTTAAGCTATTGAAGCATTGCTTTAAGCAATACAAGGACTAAATGTTTGATGAATTGAACTAAATGATACCATAGTTAAAAGCCAGATCCCCTCAGCCCTGTACATACTCTCATACACAGAGAAAACCTTTTGCTTTTATGCATTTCAAGTACTGGAATAATTGAACATCAGTTTGGCAATAAAAGCCGGACAGATTCAGAGCCAAATCCAACTCTTGCCCAAGGGGATTATATCTGACGTAAATGGGACAGTCTGGCTCGATTTGAAAAAGGAAAGAATTAAACCCGAAATGTGACCTAAATTTAAATGCTTCAGAGTTTCAAGGAATTGCTCACTTGTGTGCATGAACTTTTAAAATTATACTCTGTTCTGGAATGTTATGGCATATTTTAAAGATGTTTACTCATTCAAAGCGGAATCCGTGTTAGATATGAGAAAAAATGAAAGACGTAACCAAATAATTGAAGAACAATAGCATAAGTCTATAAAATGGAACACATTTCATCATTGGACTGTCCTTTTTTATAAGCAATAAAACTGCTGGTGGAATAATTAGTGTCAATGATATTGTAGAAACATGGGAGGCTGGAGCCTGTGTCAATACCTGAATGCGTTGGAGTCATACAATCTGCAGGATCCTCGACTTCCACATGGTTTAAATCCCCACTGGAGGCATGAAGTGTCAATCAAAACTCCAAAGTATACTGGAGCTGGAATTCCTGCTGTGAGAAACACAAATAATTGTGATGATTAAAACACCCAACCTTTTGGAATGAAAGAATCATCTCTTTCCTCGCCCAAAGGGATCATTTTGGACAGAACTGGATCAGAATATGCTACCTCCACCCCAAATAGACACCAAACACAAGACGTATTTTGAGAAATGGAAGACCTGGACAATGATCTTACCTAATTTGTTGTTATACAAGATATTCATTGTAGTTTCTTATGATTACTGCATTTCTGTGGTATATGTTTTAATATCACTGCTTTATTATGGTTCACTTTTTCATAGTAAGTCTAGCTAATTTTATTTATGTTTTCATGTACAAAGATCTTAATTTATTGATGTTTTATATTACACTTAATTTTTTAAAATTTATTAGTTTTTAATCTAACTTTTTATTATCTCTTTATTTCTGGTAATATTTGCTTATAGTTGTTCTTTTTCTAGTTTCTTCCTGTATATTTAAGGAGTATATATATATATATATGTATACACACATATTTATATCTTTATAATTTTACTGAAATTTTGATGTAAACTTCTCACTGAAAATATCTCTATTTAAAAATTTTGAAGTATTCTTTTTGTGTTTTTTTTCAGAGGCTTGGATTACACCTAGCAATGGTCAGTGGTTGCTTTGGGCAGTGCTTGAAGGACCAGGCGTTGCGAAGGTTGGAAAGGAAGTCAGGCAAATGCAAGGCCTTAATCCATGTACTATATATCCAGTCCCTCTTGATGCATTTTATTTCTAACATCAAATCATTGTGATAAACAAAAACAGTGAACATGATTTTACTAAGATTTATTTTCTATCCCAATGTGTGATCTATATTTGAGAATGTCCCTGTGTTTTTGAGAAGAATGTATATTTGGAATCCAGAAATAAGTCAGATGTATGTACAGTTGATCTAAGACAGAGTTGTTGGGTGTATGAAGTGGAGCAAGGAAAGCCTCTTCAACAAAGGGGGATGGAAAAATTGCATCCTCATCTCTCATCATGATAAAAATTAACTCACAGTGAAATCACAACTGAAGTATTAGGCCAGAATAAATTAAGTAAAATTAAGTAAATAAATTAAATAAAATAAATTAAGTAAAATATAAGCAGAACTCTTCAGGATACAAATTTCAGCGGTACCTTCAGTGATTTGACTCCAGTGACAAAATGAAAAACAAACACACAAGTGGGGTCACATGAAGCTAAAATGTTTTTGCATGGCAAAACAAACTTGAACAAAAATTCAAAAGACACCCAACTAAATGGGGAAAACATTTTCACATTATTTATCTGATAAAGAACTAAAATCTAGGATACAACTCTCTCAAGAAGTTCAACAACAATAGAACCAATAATACCATCAAAATGGAGAGAGTAGATGGATAGACACTTCCCTTAAGAAGGAATATGGATGATGAGCAGGCGTATGAAAAGTGTTCATCATTGCTTATTATCAGTAAGTGCAAATAATCACAATGAGATATATTCTCATGCCTGTGAGATGGCATATACCAAAGAGAAAAGGAATAAATCGTGTGGGTAAGCGTGTGTTGTAAACAAAACCCTCATTCTCTTTGGTGGACATGTCGTCTGGTTCAGCCTCTGTGGAAAACTTCCCAAGTAGATATCAGAACAGAGCTTTTATAGGACCCAGTAAGTTTCCTCTTTAGCATCTAACTTAAGAGCACAAAAACATTAACTCTAAAAATATATGCAAACCTGTGTTCATGCAAACTCCATGAAATGAGGGCAAATTAAATGTTCAGTAACAGACAGATGGATAAGAGAAGTTGTCTATAGACACAAAGAAATATTACAGTTATAAAAAAATGAAATCTTGCCGTTTGCTGTGACTCGGATGGAACCTGCAAAGTACTGTACCAAGTAAAATAAGAGTAGACGGATACGTGCTGTTTGCTCTCACTTGTCTGTGGTATATAAAGCAATAAAAAACAATAGGATGGAAAATATTGAATTTTACATTATTGGGTTGGAGCGTAGTGCTGTGGGTAGGGCGTTTGCCTTGCATACGGCCGACCCAGGTTCGATTCCTCCATCCCTCTAGGAGAGCCCAGCAAGCTACTGAGAGTATCCCACCCACAGGCATATCCTGGTAAGCTCCCCGTGGCGTATTCGATATGTCAAAAACAGTAACAACAAGTCTCACAGTGGAGACGTTATTGGTGCCTGCTCTAGCAAATCGATGAACAACGGGAGGACAGTGCTACAGTGCTACATTATTGAAGATAGACACTTATAATTTTAGCACAAAAGCAATTACCAACCCGTCGTGGAGGAGGACAAAAGAAGAGCCAAACTTAATGACATGATGTCAGTGGTGAAAGGTCTTGGGATCTTTGGTAGTGTTGAAAGCTTAGTAATCTTGTACAATGAAACCATAAAAGTTATCATTTCTGGGGCCAGAGAAGTAGTATTGTGGTAAAGTACTCGACATGCATAAGGCCAACCCTGGTTCAAACCCTGCTAAAATGTCCGTCTGCTCTATTATATTCTTTAAGGCCATTATTTTCTTGTTGATTTTCTGTCTGGCCTACCCATTGATGTACGTGGAGCTTATTATCTAACTAGACGAAAGGCAGAGATAGGGGATGCCTCATTCCATCATGAGTTCTGACCTTACCCCTTATACTGTGATATGACAGAGCTTGATTGTCTTTTGAGATCTCCAAAGGCATTTATATGTTCTTTACCATGAAATTTCTATTCATATCGTTACCCATTTTTCTATTTGGTTGTTGGTCATTTTATTCTTGTCTTCTGATTTTGCTTATATTTTTGCTATTCTTGAATATATTTTTATTTTTAATTTGTCTTATTTTATTTTACTTTTTGCTTCTTGGGCCACACCTGATGATATACAGGGGTTACTCCTGGCTCATGCACTCAGGAATTATTCCTGGCACTGCTCGGGGTCCATATGGGATGCTGGAATCGAACCTGGGTTGGTTGTGTGCAAGGCAAATGCCCTACCCGCTGTGCTATGACTCCAGCCCTGTATTTTTATTTTTAAGGAATATATTTAATATATTATGCCTTATACTTAAAATCTTTTTTTATACTGTAGGGTAGCACTCATATCCCCAAATTGATGTAGACATAAAATCCAGTGCCAGTCATGTTCATATTTCATATTTAATAATTTGACATTTTTCCATACAACTTCTATTCATTGTGATGGTATAAACTTTCATTTGGATTTCTCAATTTTATCAGTATATTGTATATTCATATATACCCATTTTATTTTATACCTATGTAAAACAAATTAATATTCAGATTTTTTTAAGACTCTGAGTTTGTTTTTCTTCCTGCAGTTCTTTTTTATTGGATCAAATTACCAAGAAATAATTATGATATTTTCCTTTCTTTTTTAGAGTATAAGCTTTTAAGGACAGAAACCTTGTCCAGTTCATTCACTCTTTTATTAATGTGTTTTAACTAATGCGTATTGGCATTTCCTAGCACTGAGAGAAGCTCCACAGAGTCCCTGTTTTAATAGCTGAAAAAATTATATTTAGGCTTCAGCCTTTTTACGGATTCATTATTTGCTTTTTTTTCCCTTAGAAGGCTCTCACATAACAGCAATGGAAATGTCATTATGCTTATAAAAATCATTCTTTTTATGCTCTAGGCATAGCATTGGCTCTTAATAAGCATCTCTGGAACAAAGCAATGAAGAAATCAAGGAAAGGATTGAGGGAAAGAAGAAATGGAGGAAGGTTTGAAATAAAATAATCATCTACATAACTTAGTTGTGCATTATAATGCTATAAAACATTTAGACAATTTATTTTAAATGTATTTAAATTTCATTTTAAAATTTAAATAAATTTAATTAAAATTTATTTAAGGTGTATTTAAAATACACTTCTGTTGGGTATCATAATGAAATCACAGATTATACTTACCAAGAACTCTTATTGCTAAGGTGTAGATACCAAGGGCAAAAGACTTAAGCTGTGGCTTAATGCACCTAAAATCAAGAAGAGCACAATTACCCAAAAGCATAGTCTGTTAAAACAAATTGTAATGCATGACACATGTGAAATGCTGTTAGAATTCAAGTAGTATCCATTGAGAATTTATCAGTATCTTCATGAAGGAAGCCAAATTATGTAAATTCCACTCTCCATTGCATGCAAATAAGTTCCCAGTTAATACTTCTAGAAGGCAAATTACCCATCTATAACATATTCAAGGGCTAGCACAGTGGGTAGGGCGTTTGCCTTGATGCAGCCGACCCAGCCAACCCGAGTTCGATTCCTCTGCCCCTCTCGGAGAGCCGGGCAAGCTCCAGAGAGTATCTCTCCAGCTCAGCAAAGCCTGGTAAGCTACCCATGACTTATTGGATATGCCAAACAATGTAGCAACAAGCCTCACAATGTTACTAGGCCCGCTGGAGCAAATCCATGAACAACAAGAGGACAGTGACAGTGACAGTGAATGTATTCAAATTGCATCAGTAACATAAAAATTGTAAGTTTAATTGAGGAAACAAAATCCAGGGGAGAACTTTCCAAGTTTCTAGAGTAAATGCAGAAATCTGAATGAATAACAAAAGATTAATAAGCTATAACTCCTTTTTATGGAAAGGCACAGAATCCTAGCAGAGATCTGATCAAAATCACCAAATCACTGTTGCACAGGGTCTTTCCTCAATAATGAGGATCTGAGTTTACTAAATACATCCAAGTGCAAGAAAATTTACATATTTAGAATACATAGCTTCATGTAACACATAGCTTTTAATTCATAAATTTCCTACAATACTCATAATATTTTGATAATGATATTAATGCTAACATTTAATAAAAATTACTGAGGGCTAACCATGGCCCCAAGTCTTTTGTATGTATAAATCATTCAGTTTCTGCCTTATAACAGTTGCAAAATCCACTTTGTTCCTTCAGGGTCATCTTCTGACAGTAAAACACAACTTGGTTCATTTGATGGACTAATGGGGGAAAAAAAAACTCATCCTGGCTGCTCAATTGATCCCAATGGCTACTCAGTATAGTATCTGATGAAGAAATAGCACCCATGAGTAACAATCCTGGTCTGAGAACTCTAGGCGGTACTTTACTGCTTTCTCCAATGCATACTTAAACTATAACCACACATTTCTCATGTTCTTAAGTCCTTTGTCAATAAAAGATTTATCAGCATTAGACCCTGTGATCTATTTATCTTACCTTGTCACTTTAAAACTGTGGGATAAAAGATGAGTTCCAACCAAAGCTTACCTTTATACTTAATCATTTTATCAAAAGTTACATTTTAAGTGATCTTAATTAATTGTATAAGAGTAATACTAACAAAGTTAGCTCAGGAAGAAAAATGTATTAGTCAGAATCCTAGTTTAAAAAATCTCTGACTAGAGATTCAATATCATTCAAGCATAAATTATAATAGAAGAAAAAAACCTATAGGAAATCATTAAAGTTATAAGTACAAGAGGGTAAAGAAAGAATATGAAACACAGGCCAGTGTGAGAATACAGCAAGGAGGGTTTTTTGTGTTGATCTCTGGCATGCCATATGGCCCCGCTAAGTTCACCAGTAGTGAGACTTGAGCCCAAATTCTGGACTAAGCCCTGAAGACTACTGGGTGTGACCCTCAAAGCAACAAACAAAAAATGGAACATTTTAACTTTACAATTTAGAAATAATGTTGTTTATATAATCACTCTTCTTTGAATTCCATTGCTGGAGCAATAGCACAGCGGTAGGGCGTTCGCCTTACAAGCGGCCAACATGGCCGACCCGAGTTCGATTCCTCCGCCCCTCTCGGAGAGCCCGGCAAGCTACCGAGAGTATTCGATATGCCAGACACAGTAACAACAAAGTCTCCAACGGAGATGTTACTGGGCCCGCTCGAGCAAATCGACGATCAACGGGAGGGCCTGAATTTCATTGATTGCATTAAAAAAGGACCTATTTTAAAAATCATTATTTTTCAAATGAAATGTTTAAAATGTACCGGCAATCAATGCTTAGTTTTTATTTACTATAAAAATTAAGATGTCTACTTAGATTATGGAACAGGTTGCATTCATTTAAAAAATTTCAGAGATTTGTGAAGAAGTGAAGTCATTATCTTGCTTCTCAAGCTTTAGAATCCTCACATTATCAGTATCCTATATACCTACTATTCAGACCCTGAAATTAAGTCAGGAAAAGAATGCACAGAAAAATAATAGCTTAAAATAAGTATTACATGTCTTTAAAATATCTTAAAATTATATCAATGATCCAGGAACATTGTATGTAGGGGTTGTGTGTGTGGGAACCCTATGTCTGATCCCCAGCACTGCACAATTCCTTGGTTACCTCTGGTTGTGAAACCCCCAAGCACTCTGGGTGTGAGTCCAAAACCAAAAAATAAAATGGAATCATTTTAAACTCAGTGGGCCTATGTTTACTATAAAACACATCTTGTCTACATTATTTATTGTCCACAGAATTAGAAATAGCATATTTTGTTTACTGAGTGGCTCCAGTGATATAAGCGTGTACATTCCTTAGGCCACTGGATTTTCCAAAAGATTAAAAGCCACTTCTCTAGAGCAAAAGTTTGAAAGCATTTTTAATTAGGAAAATGTATTTTTGAATACATGTTTGTCTTAAAAAGCCAAAGCGGTTTAAAATGGTGTAATGGTGTAGGACAAGTGGCCTAAAAGAGTTTTCAGGAATCATAATGATTCCTTGGTTCAGAACTGGAAATCACCGCTCTAGAGGATTATCCTCTGCATTATGTTAAAATTGAGTGTGGGGGGGGGCAATTATTCCTCACCTCAGAAGCAGTATGTACCCAGGTATGCCACCTAGGGATAACGTGTAGGAGGTGATGACTGAAATTACAATGAAATATAGAAACATTTGAGGACATCCATTATCTTTGTGACATCTTCCTCCCATGCCTGAGGAATTTCCTGATTGAGGGGTTGAAGTTCCAACACAGGTGCAGTTATAAAATATCTGTAAAACAATGGGGAACATCCCATTATTTAAATGAAATGAAAGAAATACTTTAAAGACTTTACTATATATATATATATGCATTACATATACATATATAAGCATTATATAAATAATGGGAAGAATAGCCTTTTCTTTTTCTGTTAGATCTTATGGAGCAAAGCAAGATCTTTATAGATACATTTAATTATCCAAAGAACATGTGGTTGATCTTTTAAATCACTGATCCCACAGAGAAATCTCCCAGCAAATACCAACAAATTCAACCATTATTGGCTTCTCTATCTCTTCTGGTCTAAATCATGAATTATCCACAACACCCCCCTCATACGCAAGTGCGTGCGCGCGCGCGCACACACACACACACACACACACACACACACACACACACACTTTATACTCAACATCCTTCTATTGATATTCAACATCTTCTATTCTTATTAGGGTATTATCTGTTTTTTTCACACAGTAACCAGAATGAGTATTTACAAACGACAGAGTGTATAACTATCCACAATTACTTCTCATTATACTTTTACAAAACCCCTAATCCTAACTGCGGTTTACACAGTTAACTCTTGGATTTTGGTCTTAATCTACCTACTCAGTTCTGTTTCCTCTTTCCCTCTGCTGAGGCATATGCATAGATTCTCACTGTGTACTTGCCAACTCTCAAAAGTGGCATGTTTACCCAGTCTTCTCGACCTTGGTTCTCCTCAGAGATGCTCTTATAGCAGATAACTATGTGGATCTTTGCTTAAACATTTGATTAAAGATGGCCTCCAAGATCCTCTGTTCAAAAGAATCTAGATCAAAGGATGGAAAACTGGGGATATTAGTCTTGGAGCCAGGAGGCATGGATGACCTTGCAATTGGGACTTTCTCATTGGGAACTAAAATTGATTGTAAGCAAAATGATAGCACCAGACTAAATGATTATCAAGTTCCTCCTGCATGCTATACAGTTAGAATTTTCACCCTGTTTTTTTCAGCCACTCAAGTTCCACCAGTGATGACAATATTTCTTATTTCTACACAGGAAGACAAGGTGAGAGTAAGAATCAAGACACATATAAGTAGCCTCCTGGGTTGGTCCCTGACCTCCCCTGCCAGCCACCCCATATGTACATGTGCACTATAGCAGGCCCACGGGTGCGTCCTTTTGAGAAGATTGCTTACAGTAGTTTTCCCAGTCCTGGTAGAGATTTGACAACCAGCAAAACAAGCCGATGCATACGTGATTCCATTCTCACCACACATGGGGTCCCACTTTGTCTCTGAACATTTGCATCTTGAGTTACAATCTGAAAAGAGAGCTCGTTCATGATAAGAGACAGGTTTGGTTCTGAAAAGAAATTAACAGTATAAAATATTACCTCTTAGCAGGTTGCACCCTACCGTCTTCAAAAACTCAGTGTTCTTGAGTGATTGATGTGGGTGGCTCTGCCAACAAAATTTACCGCTTGGGAACACAATTGTCATCAGAAATTGTGATCATTAAATGTGAGAGCATTATTAAAAATTATTTTTTTTCTGAAAGATATAGTTAAGAGAGTTACAATTTCACTTAATGTTCTGTTCTTGATTAGGACTTTTGGTGACTTCTACCACCTCTAGGATTGTCTTTCTATGTAAAAGGGAATAAAAATGACTGACAAAGTTTGCTCATCTATGACATCATTGAAAGCATTACAAGGAATGTGAATGTGTGTACAGCTGTCTGGACAATACAATTAATAGAATGGACATTGCTCAGGCCTGGTGACAGGGAAGACTCGCCAAGCTGTGTACATTTTTCAAAGCAATATCAATATTTATAGGACTTGCATATCCTACTTGTGTGATCTTACTGCTTGCTATACCCTCACTTTAGGTAACTCTTCTCTCTTCTGTATTTCCACCCTGTAATATACAGTTCTTCCATATCTCATCGCACCCTTATTCATTTTGAAGCTATTTCAATGACTCAACCATTTGTTCTCTTTCTCTTCCACTCCACTTCTCTCTCTCTCTCTCTCTCTCTCTCTCTCTCTCTCTCTCACACACACACACACACACACACTTGAAACTAGGTAACTGCTAACTTTTAGAGGAGGGCAGATTTTTACATTATATAAACGTAATAATATTAACCTTTGAAAACTGACTTTTGTTTATGGGTGTTCCTACGTAGTGGTCAGGAGACCCGAGGACTGCACCCAGCAGTATTTGCACCTTTAGGCATGCCAGAAGTTTTGGTGCTGGGGCCTGATGCTGCAAGTCTCCCAGGGCCATTGATGTGGTGCTACCAGGGGTACCCAACAGTGAGGAGGGGTACAGGGGCTTGATCGCAGACTCAGACATGCCTGTCATGTGATGTGTTCCAATCCTTTGAACTATCTCTGCTGGAACTAACCAATTTTAACCATTACTTTCATAGTTTTTATTGACTTCTCTCTATCTCCTTTTCTTGTTTGCTCCCATTTTCTTATCTTCCTTCTTCCTCTCTGCTATAATTCATTTTCCCTCACTTCCTTTTCTTCCCTTTGTCTGAATTGATTGCTTATACCAAGTCATAATTTTATTGAGGCATTATGATTTATAGTAGTGTTAATATTCATGTTTTAAGAACACAATGTTCTTGAATCCTATCTGCCACCAGATTATCTCCTACCACTCTCTTGTTCCCTGTTTATTCCTCCCCTTGGCCCAAACCCACCCCCACATCCTTAGCAAAATCAGTTCTATATGCTGACTCTCAAGGTATGTTAGCTTTGGCTCTTGTTGGTTTCCTTACTATGTTTCTTTATGCTTCACTTATGAGAGAGATGATTAGCATCTGTCCTCCCTTTGACTCACTTCACTCAGCATGGTACCCTCCTGTCCTATTCCAGTTGCAGTGAACTTCAAGATTCATCTTTTCTTAAGTAGGTTATATTTTTATTCTTGAACTAGGCTCCTCCCTCTATCCTTTTGAGGAGGGCTTTGATGGATGTGATGGATTGCACATCTCTTCTAACTTCTCTGTAGTTGCCACCCATTGACAACTCAAATAGAATTTTTTCTTCCATTTTGAATGCATTTGTTTGATTTTCCTTTCCCAGTTCTTCTATAGAGCTATTTGAAGTATTTTAAAAGCATCCTGTTATGTCATATACACTCAGTAACGGCAATAACCTTTTTTTTTAAATTTATACTTTTATCTTGACCACCAAGAACAATTAGCCAAGAAATAAGATTCTGTCAAATCAAACCATCAAAGAATGATGGAATTCTTTTTTGGAAAAAAAGAATTGATCATTTTGTTTCCTGCTTCTAAGAGTTATTTTTGACAATGATTGCCATCTCAATTTTTAATTAGTATAATATTACACCTAGAGGAAGAACTGATAAGAAGTTAGTCACCTTTCAGAATGCTGAAAGTAGACTATAGACCAAACATGATTGCCACTCAATGCCTCTTTTGCAAACCACAACACCCAAAAGGAGAGAGAGAACAAAAGGGAATTCCCTGCCACAGAGCCAGGGTGGGATGGGGGAGAGTGGGGGGTGGGAGGGATACTGGGATCTGTGGTGGTGGGAAATGGGCACTGGTGGAGGGATCATTGTATAATAGAAACCCAAGCACAAAAATTTGTAAGTCTACAACTGTACCTCATGGTGTTTCACTAGTAAAAATTTTAAAAAAATGAAAGGTAAAAAAGGCATGAAAAAAAAGAAGTTAGTCACCTGGAAAGTAAAAGCAAAAGATGGCTAATATATCACCACGCAGAGGGAGACGGTTGCTAACTTGGCTTCATGAGAAATCGTATTGGATAGTTCATCCTGTTCTTTTTCATAAGGTATTCATTGTGAACTAAGACCACAGAACTGAAAGTAATAACATGTGCCTTTGAGAACTGAGAGTCAGGCCACTTTGGATGATGGGTAACTGGAGCAGGAAGACTTTGGAGTGGTCTAGCTCAGCCTTTCTGACCTATGTCCAGCACAGGTGGAGGCTTTGATCACATGCATACTATTCATTAATGACAAACCCCAAACAGGACTATCCCAGTTTTCTTGGTTGTAAATTCTTGTCTGGGATCAGACTTACTCTCAACATTGCAGACACAAGATTTCTCCAGAACCCTTTCTCAAGTCCATTTCTTACTGTCATTGCTGTTGAATGTCCACAATCAAAACAATCTTTGGAATAAAGTGACCCTGAAAAATACCTAATGAGTATGCTGTATTTTATAAGACCAATTATTTTATATTACTAAAAGTAAGTCAAGTTTATCATCTTAGGGATGCCTTGAGGTAGAAATTAATTGCATGCATATTTTACAAAGGATTGTGTTGACAGTGGAGTTATTTAAAATTTCAATGATGAGTTTTATCAAATAGTCCAAATTTTTATACTCAAAAGAAATTCTTTTTACCCCAAAAGATATTTTTTCAAAATAGTCCTACAGGGAAGCAAAAATTTTCCCAGGGGTCTTATTATTTCTTTTGGCTGCTTCTGATATCCAAACTATGCTTAAAAGTTAAATCCTTATCATTGTTGAGAACCTAAAAACACGTAGAAAGCAATTTCAAAACAAAAAACTTTAGGATGTCTTAAAAAGTGATAATATTTGAACAATACTATTATGTTTTATTTATCATTATTTTTGTTATTTTTTGCACATCCAGCAGTGCTCAGGGCGTGTTTCTGGATCTGTAGAGCTGAGGATTCATTCCTGGTGAGCTGGGGGAAGCATACAGAGTGCCAGGGATTGAACCCAAGTCAGCTGTGTGCAAGGCAAATGCCCTAGCTTCTGTACTATGGCTCAACTTGCCGTTATTATTGGAATTATGTTTTTAAAGGTGACTACTTTCAAGAACGAGAGTTCATGCAAAGGATATATTGTCTTATTTGTTTAAATATTTAATTTTTACTATGTAAGTTGATTTTTAATGTGAAGTTTAAAGGTTCTTGTTTCTGAGATTGATTTTGATTTAAAGGCAGCATAATGATAATCAAAGAATTATCTGTAGAAGCAAATTGAGCTACCTAAATTTAGTTCTTTTTAGACATGGAATTTTTTTAAAGAAAAACTTACCTCATAATGGATACAATTGAGATTAGGAAAGGTATTTTGTAAACTTCAAAGTGCAAAGTACTTCACTGTCTGTCTGCTCTAAGGCTCCTAGAAATATTAAAGATGACTCAGATCTTCAACTTTTTCCAGGCCCTCATTGGCAGCACCTATTTCTAATGAGCACAATTCGTCTATATTTTGATTAACTGTCACCAAGAAATATTCCCACTCAGTTAAGACTAACATTTGTGGGACAGGAGCAGGTTGGGCATTTGCTTTGCATACAGCTGACCTGGGTTCAATCCTCAGCACCCTACAGGGTTCCTTGAGCCTTCCAGGAGTGATTCCCAAGTGCAGAGTCAGGAACAAGCCTTGAGCACTGTCACTTGTAGCCCAAAAGAAGAAAAAAAAAGACTAATATTTGTACAATAACTCAGCAAACTCTGATAGTATGAACTTTGCAATCACTCATTTTCCTGGTCATTTTAGAATTTTAGTTAGAGAAAGTGAACTGGTGTTCACTTAGCTGCAGAAAAGTGTCAGTGATGGGTTAATGAAGGCGAGGGGAAGTGAGATGCGGAGATGAGACAAGCGTGGTAGAAGCATGGGGAGATTGCTGGAGGGAAGGCAGCTCAGAAGCCAGTAGCAGAGAGAACGTGTGTCCAATGTCCAGGGCCAGCCCTTTCGTGCTGCAGACAGAGCTTGAGGCAGATGAAGACAGGGCATGGTTTGCCACTTTGGCTGCGGATCGCTGTGCTTTAAAGGCAACATAGATCGGTGAAAGGATGGAGGCCTCTGTGGTCTCAGGTCAAGAGGTGGAATGATGGGAAGGAGTTCTCAAAGCAGAGGGCAAAGCAAATTGTTCAAGACCTGACCTTGAGCAAAAAAGCCGGAGCGTTTGGAAACTGAGAAATGACTCATCACCTGGCAGGTCAGAGAGCACAGAATGTATTCTCATGTGCAGCTGAAAGGACATGCCTCAGGACCCTGCTCTAAAGCCAAGTGTCAGGTATGACCCTGAGCTGAAGGATAGGAAAACTGGCTTATCCTAAAATTTCACATGACTTGAGCACAATAGAAATGATGAAGCATGAAATAGGAGAGCATTCTAGTTACCCATGTATTCAAATTATAAAAAAATACAATTGTTTACATAAGCTAAACATCCGTTTTATGCCAGGTAAGTATTCATCACTTCCATGAATAATGATAACCAGATATATTACAAAATATTGAAAGGTAGTCATTTTTGTTTCTAAAATGAGAATATTGATGATAGATTAGATTTAATGACACACACACACACACTACACGTAAAGGGCAAAGGTAGTTGTAACTATTCAGTAATTTCCTAAATTAAAGAATATAGTGAACATTTTTCATATTTTCCTAAACCATTCCAATTTAAGAAGACAGATTTGGTATCAATAATACCTTCTGTGTTAATAGTAACTTCCATGCCAAAAGAATTGTCTCTCATTCCACAATGAAACAGCCATTCCCTTTCCTAGTTATGAGGCCTTAAGGTCTAATTTTGGACTTTTTATCACTAATTAATTGGATTAAGCAAGTCAATCTCTTCAAAACAACCCATGATGAACATACCCTTCATAGGAGACGGTCAGTCCTGCCACATCAGAATTTTCACAGCCCAGTGAAAACAAGGACAGGAACAGGAGGTATCCAAAGACAGCTGATCCCAAGTAGAGTTTGGCAGCTCCACAGACACCAACTCTGAACTTTTTCATAATGATTCCCCCAGAGAATATTCCCAGAGCCACTGCAGGTATGTTGATTAGCCCTACGGGATACCAAAAATATGTAAACAAATAATAATAGTCTAAAAATGGAGAAAAAGACATCTTTGTGAATTTTTAGAAGAAATCTGAGGGCACAACACACAAAGTTTCCAAAAAATCAGACAAAAACTATATAATAGTTATTTGATGTAATGGTAAATATTCAACATCTAGAAATATTCACTATTAGGCAGTGCCCTGCCCAGAGGCAGGAGCCAAATGAGAGGTTGGGGATCGAATCTGGGTCAATAGTATGCAATGCAAGTGCCTTTCATGCTAAACTACAAATCTGGGTTCTAGTTACAGATTAATGATGGCACAATTCTCTGACTTCTGCCCAATACATTGTCTAGCACAGTGTTTTAAATCAATATACACTAAATGAGTCAATGAATCAGAGTCTTATCTCAGGAGTAACATGTCCAGTCTGATGATGATTAGGTGATGATTAATTTTAAGTTGTGCATCAGAGAATAAGGGCATAAAAATAGCTTGGGTTCAATTTTCTGGCCCCCCCCCCAAATTGTTTCTATTGGCCTTAATCTCTTTGCTTGGTGTACTTAGTTTTGTATACACTTATTATTATTATTGTGTTATTATTGGGTCACTCTCACAGTTGTTCTTTGCCTGAGTATACCAACTACTCAGCTAAGCATTACATGTGCTCTTGCCCCTGGCTTCAGGAGGCAAGCACACTATTGACTGCAGAGGACATTTCAAAGTCATGGTTAGAAGATCCTGCACCCAGTTTAGAATACAGGTACTGTTCTGTCAGATCCATGTACTGCCAGTCGTACCTCCTGCTACCCCCAAAAGGGTATGTTTCGTCTATTTTATACTCTTTGGTGGGAAGGGTCTACCCCGACAGTGTTCAGGGTTTATTCCTGGTTATACGCTCAGGGATCACTCCTTGTAGGGCTTGGGGTTTGGAGTGCTGGGGAATAAACCCAAGTCTATCACATGTAAGGTATGTGCCCTATCTGATGTACTATCACTCTGGCCCCTGTGTAATATTCTTGTGGTCACTCACTCATACTTGTGAATAACTCTAGTTACAAGTAGCTACAAGCTATGCCAGAGAAGATTTGAATATTTTACTATAGATTTTTTAATAATTCATATTTTTAATCAAACCACTGTGAGATATAGTTACGAAACTTTCATGATTGGGTTTCAGGCATACAATGTTCCAACATCTATCCCTCCCCTCCACCAGTGTACATTTCCCACCACTAATATCCCCATATCCCCTGTATCCCTCAGTTACCATCATTCTCCCCTCGCCCCCCACCCCACCCCAGCCTGCCTCTATGGCAGGCACTTTTCTTCTACCTCTCTCTCTCTCTCTGTCTCTCTCTCCATTACGGTTTGCAATGCTATATATTTTACACTAGATTTGTATTCCATTCACATCCCCACTTCAAAGTGAAAATGTCATGAATTACCTTCAGTCTATTAGAACAGTTTTCTCTAAATCTCTGAGTGTGAGTGGGAAGTGGCTTAGCTAATTCCCACTGGAACCCTGGTGCATGTGCGCATACCGATCACGAAGTTGGCCTTGGAGGATGACTGTCCATACTGCTGCTCAATGTACTTGGCTTTGTACGTGACCATGCCGAACAAAGAGTTGAACTGAACGGTGCTGGCACACAAATACAAGAAATACACGGGGTTTCCCAAAAGACTCCTCAGCGATGGAAGAAACTCTGCAGATGGAAAGAACATGTTCTCACAAAGGCAGCGGCACTTGTGTGACAAGGTGCAGGACTGCCTGGGATGGCCTCCTGGCCTGGGCTTGTCAGCACTGAGAATTATCTCAGGGTCTATCCACACTTTAGGCACGAAGGTGGGACAGGCACCCACCAAGTCTGAAGTCTGCTCAGCTTCAGACTCTGGCACTGCCTCGTGCAGACTCAGCTCTTGGACAGAAGTCAGACACCTGTAATTCAGGAGTAAATTTTCTTTAACCAATATGGGTACAAGACAAACAGGAGCTGAGCAGCCTGGGCCTGGAAACTCTGGAATTCCAGTCTCTTTTTCAGACTTGAATCCCGCTCACAGGGAATGGAGCAGAGAAAATTCTGTTCAGTTCTTTCATGCAAGAAATTTACTTTTGCCTTCTCCCTTCTTCTTATGCTTCAGTCAAATGCTTAGAATTGTGGAGATTGATAGCAGCACCATGCCAACTCACCCACCAGCTCTACTTTTCAGATTCATGAACTGAATCTCTGGAGAGGTGCAAGCCGAGTTGCTGAAATTCATGGACATGTCGATTCTCCTGGCTGAAACTCTGGTGTGCTCTTGAGAGGGAGGTGGGCTGAGTCATGCAGCCATATATGTAGCCACACCCACAACCACTGCTGCCACCAGGCCAACAGCCTAACGCCATGGTTTCACTAAGAATCCCTGCAGATTCATCTGAGATCTACAAATCCTGAAGTATATGAACTGTGTGGCTGCATATATGGCTGCACGACTCCCTGAAATTCCAAATTTTTGAAACTCCAATAGGAGCACACCAGATTAGATGAGAAAGGAACGCAGAAGCCAACTATACTCAACAAACAAAAGCAATAACACAGCAGGCTCCACTCATGGCAAACAACTTAGGAAGGCCTCAGACAAAGATTCAACAACTTCGGGGCGAAATAGAACAATTTTTACAAATTTTCTTTTACTGAATTATAGTTTATAATTCTTTTATTTGTATAACTCTTATTGGTTGTAACAAGCAATATAAAAATTTATTGTGTGCCTACTAACAGGGTAGACTTTGGGGGTGGTTGGAAAGATGAGATAATGGTGGAGGGAAGGTCGTGAATTTTTTTCTAGATCTATAAATCTTGCTTAATGGGAAGGGGTAAGAAAGGGAAATCTTTTTTTTTTATAAATGGATTGTATTATTTATTTATTTATTTATTTTGCCTTTTGGGTCACACCTGGCAATGCACAGGGGTTACTCCTGGCTCTGCATTCAGGAATTATTCCTGGCGGTGCTCAGGGGACCATATGGGATGCTGGGAATTGAACTCGGGTCGGCCACTTGCAAGGCAAACACCCTACCGCCTGTGTTATCGCTCCAGCCCCGGGAAATATTTTCTATGGCCCCCTGTTCCATGTGGACGGATCTTAGTAGGGCACAGCTGGCATTTTGCCCGCACCCCACTTACTTCTAGGCTCCCTGGAGGGAAAGTGCGTAATGCTCAAAGGGGTGGTTTTCATCCCTGCCAAGGCCACAGAGCCCTGAAGAGTCACTCTCCTCCCACCCAGTTTGATCAGGCAGCCACCTTGGGTGGGGGCAATTACAGGGTGGAGATCTCAGCAAGGAAGTCACTGTGCATATGTTCCAGTTTCCGGTTAGAGGGCTGACACTTCCATCTCCACTCTCCATGTGGATGGTCATCACCATTTTCCTCATTTGCTTCCTGGATAGCTTCTGACCTTTTCTTTCTTTTTCTACAAGGTGATGTCATTTTATTCATTTGTTGGGAAGAGTGGGGGTGACTACAGCAGTACTCAGGGCTTATTCCTAGCTCTGTGCTATGGCATCACTCCTGGCAAGGCACAGGAGACCATATGCAGCGGCAGAGAATAAACAGGCAGCCACATGCAAGGGAAGCAGCTTCCCCACTCACATTCTTTCTCAACTTTTCCTAAACACTGCGAGGAAGATAGGGTTCATTATTCCTAGAGTTTTTAAGGCTCAACAGGAAAAAAGAAAGTGCTTCAAAATCAAGGAGAAGCTGACTCACCCTTTACCATTTCCATTATTTTTGTTTTTTCTCCTTGAGATGCTTGAAAATCAGTGTCATCATTCATAATAAATTTGGATTTCTCAGATGAGGAACTGGAGCCTTCTCTACTTCGAGGTCTTGGTAGACTCTTGGGTAAGCACCAAAAGGGCACTGCCGCCAGAAGACTCAGGACTCCTGCTATTATATACCCCAGCCACCAGGCACCTACCCACTGTGGGTCCTTTGGCGTAATGGTTATATGGTCTGAAAGGAGAGAAGGTGGTGAACCAGAATTTACAGAAAAACTTAAAAAGTCTTAAAGTAAGGTTTGAAAAAACACCACATCATAAAAATACCCAAGAACTCCTACACAGTAACATTTTCTGATCTGAGCATTTATTATATCTTGCTTTTTGAAGAAAAGAGGGAGTTTCTGGAGCATAATGCTTTCTCCTTTTGTTCCTTAGATTTATAGAGAGTCTAAATACTAAAGGGGCTACAAGTAGAGAAAGAAAAAAATTAGTTATGAAATAGCAAGTCCGGGCTCCCTTGTTTATCCTTATATAATGAGCTATTCAGGAAGGAAAGCTACCATTCTTATAACATGTCTCACCTAAGAAAAGATTTGTGCAACAAAGAAGGGAATTTTGGTGGTCAGAGTACTTTTGGTGCTTGACCTTTCTCTCAAGTTCACAAATAAATGATCAGCTAAAGGTACTATAATAAATACTAATATACCTGAAACCGATAAGCAGCACAGTTTGCGTTCCTAATTACATTGGAATGTGTTGGAACTGGCAAATAAGAAGTGAAAAAGGATACAACTGAATAAAAAGCACCAGATCTTCCAGTTTTAATCCTTGACTACTTTTCAGACTCCATTTATTGACAAGTAATATTGTTTTATTAATAATTTTCCCATGATTATTTTCATGTTAGAATAAAATGATGCATTTTTCTAAGTCAATAATTTTTTCTTTTTTCTTTTGTGAAGCAAAAGAGCTTCATGTAAAGAAATTTAGAGAAATATGAGGGGAGAGTAAGAGAGAGAGCATTATGTGTTCAAGAGCAAACTCGACTTCCCCAGAGTGAAAAAAAGGCCTCAGTAAGTTTTTATTAAACTTATTTGATGTTGTGGTTCCTTCCCCTACCCATCCACCTCTTCACTTCCTCTTAAGTTTGAATCTTGAGCTTCAAAATGTCCCACTAATTCTGCTTCACCCAATGGTAGGCTTTGCCAACCTTTGTAATGAATACTTATTTTAAAAATAGAAATTTGATATTTTCTACAGCATCCCGTTAATTAATACCAATGAAAACAAATGAACAAATAAAAACACATTTCCTTACCTAGGCTTACAAAGCCAATGTCAACATACAGTTTGGCACATAATGAGCCTAACAGGAAGCCAAAGATTGGTCCTATAATTGCAACCGTCTGCACACATCCTGCATGAAAAAAATGCCATTGCTTTTATAAATGAATAATCTTAACAAGGAATCTGAATGATATCCAGTTAGTAGCTGCAACAATTAAACTCTTTACTCAAAGGTATTTAACATATCAATGCTCAAACCGCATTGAATCTAGAAATCAAGTATCCTTTACCTCAGTCAGAAAGTAAAACCGACACTCTGAAGAAGTTTATTTCTGAAAACGGAATAAATTTTCTTCACTGGAATGAGGTTATAAATTCAAGAACAGGCATTAAGGCACATGTACACACAAATAAAAACAACAATAATATTACTCTCTAAAACTAGATTCTATGTATTGATAGAAATCAGAAATAAACTATTTATAGGGATGATCTCTCCCTGTAGTATTGAAGGGATCAAACCTGAAGCTCTGATTTGTGAAGCTATGAACCTTTGGTGCCCTCTTCCCCCAGCCCTTGAAAGTATTTCAAAACATTTTTAATGGTTGGTTAGATATCAAATTGGGGGCACTATGCAGGAAGCGAGACTTGAGGGCAGAGTCAGGTGCTCTCTGAGACTTGGAACCATCCTGGTCAGATATAACAGGACAAAGAAGGTGGAACTACGTGGCGTTTAACTCTAGTTTGGTTTTTGTGACTTTAACTGCATTCACTGGTATTCATTTCAGACTTGGAATAGTCTAGGCCTTAATTTTTGTCCTCCTCATTAAAAATTTGTTTAGTATTGTAGTTTTTGGCCACAACTTGTGGTGTTCAGGGGTTACTCCAGGCTCTGTGCTCATGGGTGCTTAGTTAACCATGCTGTACTAAGGATTGACCCTGAGTCTCCAATACGCAATGTATGTACTCAGCCTGCTGGGTTCTCTTTGATCAACTTATTGGTTTAGATTTTTTTTTAACCTATTTTACCTGCTTTTGAGATTCCAGATAATCAGGGTTTTCATTTCATTTTTCATTTCATCATCCTGTTTATCGTCGATTGCCTCGAGCAGGCCCCAGTAACGTCTCTTTCATCCTAGCCCTGAGATTATATTCACGGCTCTTTAGGAGAATGAGACCCATCAATGTTACTGGTATTTGGCATATTTGGTACGCCACGGGGAGCTTGCCAGACTCTGCCCTGTGGGCAGGCTACATTTGATAGCCTGCAAGTTTGTCCAAAGTAGGAATGAGATAATAAGATATCATAAAAAAAGTTCTGATAAGATGTCGAGCGGCCGTGTATGCGGCCGCGCGGTTCCGGGATCTGGATTTTATAGTCTCTGAGTCTTGGCCGCTGATGGGATTACACGGCGCCAGGGGGCCAGGTGGTGGGTGTGACCCCCGCCTGCTGGAAATTGGAGGATCTGAATGGAAGATGCTCGACTCCAATCTGAGTAGGCTTGGAGGTCTCGGCCCCGGAACCCGCGTGGCTTTGTCCCTCTGCCAGTACCTTCATGTGTGCGGAGAGTGGTCTCAGCATGGTGGTGGCTGGTCCTGGAGGTCTTCGGCTGCCGGAGCCCCGGTCGGGGTGGGGAGGAAAGCTCAACCCGCTCCCCTCCAAGGGGTCCCGGCGAGGGTTTATCAGATAGAAAACAGTTTCCAGGGTTCCAGGTGTGTGTGTGTGTGTGTGTGTGTGTGTGTGTGTGTGTGTGTCTTGTGTATGTGTGTGTTGCCTGAAATTGAACCCAAGTCATCCAAATAAGAGATGCATTTACCCATCCTTAGAAACATTTTTTAAAAAATGTAATCCCCATATGTCTCATCAGTACTATGAGCTCAGTAAAAACAACTTTGAATTCTAAAATACATAAAGTTACTTGTTCCAGCTCAAACATCCTTAAAGTTCAGCTCATTGATACTTATTGCAATCTACTACTCTTTGCTGAATGACATAAGTCCATATACTTGAAATCTCTCCTTTGATAAATCCTCAGTGTGGACCTTAGAAAGACGTGAATTGAATAAAGGAACATAAAACCCTCCAGGCCTTGTCTAGTTTAGGATAAAGAAAACCAGAAACCCGGATCCCATGAAGATGCACGACGTGTGCTTTACCAATATAGAAGGCTGCACTGTCTTCACTGGCAAAATCATCCAGGTAGGCGATGCCCAGGGGCTGTATCGGAGATTCCCCTATTCCTCGAAGGAGGTTCCCCAGGAAAACATACACCCACATGGAAGAGCTGGCGTCAGTCTCACATTCTGGAAAAGAAAACAGAAACATTGAAATCAGATCAACATCAAGGTTAACTATTTATTCTGAATTTCTATAAATTCTTAAACTGGATTTGACTGCAGAGTGAAATTTGAGAGGAACCTAATAGATTTGAGTTTGAGGGTGATACTAATTTGTAATTCATTATTTGGGGGAATACAACTCCCCACCTCTGTCCCTTAGATTGGACTTTGAGCTTCTCCTATTTCCTTTTTACATCTTCTCTTCTCTCCTTGCTTCAATTTCTTTTTTAAACTAGGTTCACTGAACTCCTAACAGTCAGCAGCCTGGAAGGAAGCAAAATTTTGATAAAGTATTTACTCACTTACTTTTTACCCTATTTTCTTTTTTCAGCAGAAATGACTTAATTCTTTCACTGATCTAGTTTTAATCTGAGACTCAAATTTTTATCTAGGTGATATTTCAACTTTCACCATTTCCCAAAGCTACAACTGATGATGAGTTACTGGTGTCGGGACTCTCTCAGGAAACAAAACTGAACAAGAAATCTGGATGATATCCAGTTAGTAGCTGCAACAGTTACACTCTTTACTCAAGGGTATTTAACATATCAATGCTAAAACCTCATTGACATTTGAGTGAGATTGTTAAAGAATATTAACCCCAGTGCTTAGCAGTATGAGTATTTCAACATAAAACCCATTGATGCTATATTTAGAGCCAAATTGAAGACCAGTGATTTTTCCAAAAGGATTTATAGATGTTTAAAAAACAAAGTCTCTGGACAATACTATGACATAGAGGTTATTTTCACCTGCTAGTAACCCTTTCGGTGATTTTTGGAAACTCATGGGCTGGTCACCTGAATGCTGGGGAGGCTGACTCATACCATCCCACAAAGAAAACTCCTGTGGCTTCCAAGCCCAATACTGCTTTTCTGGAGGTGTTTCTCAAGTGACTTCAGATTAATTTTTCACTTTTATTTTCTGCATATCTGTTTCACTTCCCAAAATATGACCTGAATTCCTTTGATAAAAATATATCCTTGTGTCAATTCCAGCCTGAATATTCATCAAATGACCAGACCTCTAGTATTCCTGGTCCAGGAAACAGACATTTCAAAAGAAAGCACTATTGATTAGTTGGGGAGGGGGTGTGGTGGTGAAAAGTTTGATGGTATAGTTGCATGAGGTGGGAAAACACACGGGCACTATAAAAGGATCTAAGTGTGAGTCCCAGTACCACATGATCCCCTAAACATCACTGGGTGTGACCTTGGTCTTTCCAAGCTCCTCTGGGCATGAGCACTGATATGACCCCTATAAACAATTTTGATGGAAAGCAAGTGTAAAAGTAGCTCTTGCACTGACTGAAACAAATCCAGTCTCCAGGCTAGGGAGTGAGATTGTGAGTGTTCAGAGGAAGTTGTTGGGTATAAGGATGGTGCAAGGCTCAGGGGAAGAGGGGATTTCAGCTCCTGACAACACAGCATCCTGAAGACAGAGCAAATGGCCGTGGATATCAGTGTGGCCTCCCTGAGCAGTTTAACCTGTTGCTGCCTTGGTCAAATAAAAGAAACAGTGGCATTATACTTAACCCCTCCTGCACTAGGCTCTAGAACAATAAGACAGAAAAGATGTTCCCGGTCCCTGGGTGGCTCACACACAGCATCCCTGGGTGGTATTGCCACTACTATAGGACTCTGCACACTCATAGCTGAATTTCCTAGATTCTATCTGGGCTGAGATGATCATTTCAGAGAAAGTTGCAGTACTGGAAGGGCCTAGCCCTGCATGTAAGAACACATCAAGGCAACACGATGGCCAGAGGGAGCTCACATACTGAGCTTGCCAGGAAACTGCAAGTGAACACCCAGAGCTCCTTCCTGTAGCCCTTTTACTTGTACGTGAGCTCCCTAGAATGTAAGCAAGCCCTGGGAAATAGGGTGAAAGTTAGAGCTAGACTGAGTGCGATGGAGTCTTTGATGTTCTCATGAAACGAGCTGAGCATAGAAGCTTCATTGAGTTCTGGAGAGGGGCCTCAGAGGTAGTACAGGACTTCGGATGCTGGCAACCACAGAAACTGCAGCAAGACTTTTGGGTGAGGTCCTGGAAGTCCCCCAATATTAGGTTATTTAGGTGGTCTGATAGTCTTCAGCACAGCACTCCCTCCTCCACCCTCATCCCATGGCTTGAACAGCACCACATCCTTAGGCCTCTCTAGCCCTAGCACTGAAATGCCCACTTGACTGGCCAAATGTTGCCATGAGTGGCCCCTAGATTCCCTGTGCTCTGCTTGGGAGCCCTCTTCAGACACCCCAAATTAACAGAGTTCTGGGTAAAATTGTATTTTGCTCATAGTTGAGTCGTGCTGGAATTTGAGCATGCCAACAGGTTCTACCAAACATTCATAGTCACTCTTATTTGAAGTCATTGTAGGCTCCCTCAGTAAGCGAGGTTCCCTTTTTCTAGAAGATTCGGTTGACTGCCTGTTTCCTTAGAATCTCAGCATGTATGGCTTTATGGGCTGACATTTTTATGTTACTGAATCTCAGTTGAAATGTAAAGCTTGTAATGGCAAAATTTGTACCACCATTTTTGTTCAGATGAAAGTACATCTGAAATATAAATTTTGTATCAATCAAGTAGAACAAAATATTCTTACCATTGTGTTTTTGGGATTGTGATTTTTCCATAACTGAGATTGGCAATTCCGGGTTGGACGCTGAGAGGCACGGAGATAGGTTGAAGGTTGAGTTGGAGAAAGAATATGTTTCATATCTGTACCTGTACAAAAGAATGGTTTCTTCACTATAGACTCTTATAACAACATGCTGGATACATGCATACCTGATACTCACTAATTAGGGTCCTAAGTGCCTGGTCCTTCTCCCATAGCTAGGTAAACTCATTGACCCAGACAATAGAAACTGAATCCTCAGGACTACAGAGCTGTATATGGGGGCTGTATGACATTTCCAAATTTCTCAATATTAAAATTAAAGGGGATTATACCCACTGGATTAGATGGGAAAGTAATAACTAAGCCAATAAAACTCAACAATCAAAACCAATAACACAGAAGGCTCAATTAGGAACACACAGTAAATCTCGATAAGGACTTAAGAATCCCATGGTAAGATATAACAATTTTCACATAAAAATCAATTTTTAAACTGAATTGATTTTAATATTGGAGCTTTGTTTTCTAATCAATTTCAACTTTAGAAGTGTATCAACCATTGTGGTTTTTGTCTTTATTTTAAAATAAAAATAAAAATAGGGTCCTAACTGAGTTTGTCATGATCCTGGGTTAGAGAACTAAACCAAAACAGCACTGAACAGCAGTTTGCTAAAGTGACAACCAGAAGATCAGGTTCCTAGGCATTATACTATATCTAAAGCAGACACTATCCCAGAGTAGTCAAAGAAGATAAGAATTATTCATAGAGGCTCATTTTGTATGAAAGAGCGACAGTCACCTATCCTTCTGATAAAAAATGTATCCAACAGGAGATAGTTGGATAAGAAAAAATTAAGCAATTTGCGTGTTGCTATTAACAAATGTAAAGAGTTGTGAAGTTAGTCACTGTCACTGTCACTGTCCTCCCATTGTTCATCGATTTGCTCAAGCAGGCCCTGTAATGTCTCCATTGTGAGACTTATTGTTACTGTGTTTGACATGTTGAATACATCACGGGTATCTTGCCAGGCTTTGCTGTGCGGGTGAGATACTCTCGGTAGCTTGCTGGGCTCTACGAGAGGGGCGAAGGAATCGAACTCTGGTCGGCCTTGTAGGCTGACAACTCAATGCATATGTAGGCATAGCATGTCCTATTTGACTGGACAATTCATCAATTGCTAGTGCTACTCTTTCATCTTTTTATAAGGCTACAGTCACAGCTAGATGAAAGAGTCTGTGATTGATGATAGGATTGTTAACATTCTCTTTATTATCCCAAGCTGAGTGCTCCCACTCAAATGATTTTGCGTGAACCAGTTTTTGAGGTATCTGATAAAAGAACTTCACAGCATTGTCCTGAATCTAGGGGGGATTTTTTTTTAAATATGTATGACTGAAGGTTAGTAATTATATTAGTGTATTTGGAACATTGGTAATAAAAATCCACTTATGCAGTCTAGTAAGGAAAAATGTATTGAGTTATTAGAGGATCCAAGTTGATGAGTGGTTACTCTATATCTTTTTTTTTGCACATCCTATGCTTGAATGGGTCATGAAAAACACTGAAAAAAAACATTTTAATATGACTAAGGAAAGAGACCTGGAATTTCGTCATTTTCATCAAATGGTTCTCTAATCAAAATAGGTTAAGAATTACTTAGTGAGGGTACTGGGTTTTAGTGGAGGGAGTACACACCAGGTGATATTCAAGGCTTATCTCTAGTTTCATGCTCAGGGATCACTTTTTGTGGTGCTTGGTTGCTTGGGAAATTGAACCTGGGTCAGCCACATTCAAGGCAAGTGCCCTACCCGCTGCACTATGTTTTTCAATTCTTAGGGACATACACAGAACATTTAGTCTTGACATTATGATAAATATTACTATATTTTTTCTTTAATAATTCTAGAGACGCTAGGTGCTGTTTATAATACTTCAGGCTCTGAGAAAATGTCAACAGTTATTATGTGGTATTTTGCAAAGATTTAATTATTTGAGCTTTACTAATTCAATTTATCAAAAGATAAACATTGAAAACCTGATATTTAGGCATTTGATAAATGGTCTTTTATGTAAGTGCCACTGTTGTCACGTAATTACTACCATGCACACTAGAAAAATCAATTAATCTCTTTCAACTTCAATGTTCTTAATTAGAAAATGGGAGCTATTGAGATTGTAGAGATCCATATTGGCTAAAGGCACAAGGAGAAGATTGAATAAAGACAAATATACAACAGTTTTTCACTGGGGACTTAAGTTTTCACCTGGATTCAAACCTGACTGAAAGATTATTGATTCTGATGCATAAAAATCTATACTAGCTTCCTAAGTTACCTCCAGCTTTTTAGCTTATTCCCTGTTAGGTTACTTTTCCAAGCAGTTGTCAGCACCATCCTTTAAAAAACATGTCAGATTATATCTCTAATATCTATCTATCTATTATTCTATCTATCTATCTATCTATCTATCACTATACAAGGGCTTAATGGCTCCAGGGTGAGATACAACAATCTTCACACACTTTCCTCTAAGAAAACTTTTGGGGATCATTTTTAGTGGATTATTCATAACAAACAACTCAAAATACTTATTTAGTACATGCTTTTGGGGCAGGTTTGGGTGGTGGTCGTGGGAAAATTTGAAATAATGGTGGTAGGATGGTGTCATGGTGTCAGGATTGGTATGGGAATATTGAATGTAATGAATTATTGTGAACAACTTTACAAAAATAACAAAAAATTTAAAAAAAACCTGCCAGATGGTGCCACTTTTCTCAAAATGTCTCTTTAATTTTGCTGACATCAATGCAGGGTAGCACAGTGATCATTTTCACAGACGATTAAACCACAAGCGACACTGTAAGGGCACTGCAATTTCATCCCAAGAGAATTAACAGAACATAAAGGATCACCAGTTAAGCGGCGGGTTGTTTTCCTCAATGGAAGCAATGAATTCTCTGAATACAGGAGAAATGCTGCCTTTTGTTAAGGCGAGGCCGGAGCACGGCCCAAACTCACCGTTCCATGAAGAACTGGGGCACAGCGACCAGCACTGTTCCGACACCCATGACCAGGCAGCCTCCACCGATGAGCTTTGGCCTGTGAAGTCTGGCTCCAAAGTAGCTAACGAAAGTTATCACTAAGAGATTCCCTTTGGGAGAAAGAGCACATGTTGGCAAGTTAGAGCAGCACTTCCCAACTGCGTCCCCGGAACTGTATATTCCAAACGAGCCACAGGTGAAAAGCTTATAAATAGGAGGGTGCACAGCAGAAGAATTTGGGGACAGCGGGTAGTATGGGGGGCACGTGGGATGGAAAATGTTCAGAAGGGAACCCACAATGGAAAGAAAGGCTGAGAAAGACTGAATGAGAGGACTTTTAAAAGTCATTAGCATAATGAAAAGAGTGAATGTAAGTGAATGGATATCTCCATAGGTCTGGTAAGACTTTCTTGTCGTGATTAAATCATCTCCTTGGTGTCTTTCCCATTTTTTTCTTCTTTTTTTTTATTCTGCAAAAACCGGTGACACTGTCTTCAGATTTTAAATCACTTTTATCAAAGTATTGTAATGGCCAACCCTTCTAGTTCATTTTCATCCACCATAGCTATGAGATCTTCAATGTATGTATGTAATATACAGACATACATTACATGGCTGATGTGCCCCATAGAAGATGCAAAACGTAAATAAATTCCACTTCAAACAAAATTATATTATGAAGTTCATACAGAGGTGAAACCAGGACAGAAGTGTGTTGTGGTTCGTTTTCATGGTGATTGGATACAGCGCTATTATACAATATCAATACTTTAAAATGTTGTAACCATATTACCTAAACTATGATAAAATAAAAAAATTAAAGTTACATTAAAAACAACATTTAAACAATGTTAACTAGTATATGAAAACTAGAACTATAGATGGAACAAGAAAATAGATGGAAAAAGAAAATAAAACCCTGATATCTACCTGAGATTCATAACTACTATTGGCATGATAATATAAATCTTTTGAACTTTTTCTCATCCAGTTATTTCAGTTTTTTAAAAAATTAGAATCAAACATGTAACTATCAGACTTATATTTATACTTTGAATTTGTTTAAATACTTTTCAATTGCTTCATATAATTTTTTAGATTATACAGTTTAGATTGTTCTCAACATTTAATTATTATATATTTTATTGTAATACTCGGACTAAAATTTGAGTGGGGGAACTTCTGGCAGTGATCATGTCTTGTTCTTGGCTCTGCACTCAGGAATGAGTCCTGGCAGTCTCAGGGAACTGTATGGGGTGCTGGGGAAGGACCCCGGAGCAGCCATGTGGGAGGCAAACATCTTACCCACTATACACTATTGCCCCAGTGCTGAACTAAACTTTGGTATTGCCAACAAATCACAGTTCTTAAGTTGAATGATTTAAATGTAGATATTTGCTTTTTTCGGGATAGAAGTGGGCCACACCCAAGTGCCCTGCCTGCTACACTATTTCTCTGATCTCTAAACGTAAAGATTCTGGCAGGATTTGTAAAAACAGCAAGACTTTATGATTAATCATGCAAGTACAGAAAATTATCACTACTTTTGTCATGAAGGCATAGAGGATGCGAATGTGATTTTCTTATGAATACTCTTTTTTGTGTTTCCCTTAAATAGAAAATGGCTAAATTCATCACCAACTCAAAATACAGGCTCCAAAATCTCTCTCTTTTAGACCTCTCTGGAAATCCTTTCAAATTACTTTTTTATGAAAGATTAGACTCAAAAAACAAAAATTACTACACCTAAAGAGCTTCAGGAATACATCCACATGTAAATATTAATGTGTAAAATGCAAAAATTATACAACTACATAAAACGCACTTAGTTCTCTTTTAAAAATGACTACTTTTTTGAAAGTTGAGATTAAGCTTTTCTAAAATGTCTCTGGAGGAGCTCGTGATAAATTGCTTTTTAGCTAATAGTGTTGATAACTGATTAATCATGCTGTAGGGAAGGAAGACCTGTGCTTTGCAGCATACAAAAATTACTAGAAGTTGGTGTGTGCAAAGCAGAAGCATAAAATATGCAAAATCTTGGCAACTCCCCCAGAGTTTCTGTTTCCATAGATCTGGGGGGGGGGGTGTGGGTACAAGAAATCTATATTTTAAATGCAGGCTCAAATGTATTGATGGAGGTGGTTCCTGGACAGTGTTTCACAAACATTGTTTGGGGGTCCCGGATTTCAGGGACTTCAAAGTTTTAACTATTTGCATTGGGAATATTCCATTTATAATAACTATGGTTGCTAGATAAAGAACTTAGGCGTGCCGTCATCAACAGATTGTGATGGTGGACGGGTGGCCTTGCTTTGAAGTTGCTAATGTTTCCAGTTTTCTAGCAAGAGTCCATTTCCTTACATCTGCAAGCAATCATCTAATTTACTACTGTTTATTCCCATTGCCAGCTTTAACCAAACATAAAAAGAGCAGTGATTTTCATAGCCTTGGGGAGAATCGTGATAGTGAGAAAAGGAGTTTACAGTGGCTCCAGAAAGAAGAAAGCTTTTCTTGATTTCATATTTAAAAATACACTTTCATTATCACTGAAAATGTTAGGAGAAATTTGATATATCTCATCATTTAGTATAGGAATATGACAGTTAATACAGAAAAATAAAGTTGACTTTCAGTGTATAGGTAACATGCTATCACACTACCCTGTACAACATACCACCAACTCTTCGCAGTAAAATACACAGATGTATAGGCTATATAGATGTTACACGACGTGCATGTCACATAGTACCATTTCAGAGTTGTGATATAGACAGATTTTTTATTTTGTTTTTGGGGGGCATACCTGGTGGTGTTTGGGGGGCTATTCCTGGTTCAGTGCTCAGGGTTGCTTAAGGCAGCTCTTGAAGAACCATGCTATGCTGGGGATTGAAACCAAGACCTCACATTGTTGGGTCCAGTTCAGCCGAAGAACTACCATGACAGGCTCTGTGACCTTCGAGTGGTCTAGGCCTCTTCCAGGACCAAGGAACTAGCTCATTCCTGGTAAACAGGGTACATGGTTGCAAAACTGTTAAAGCAGAAAACCCGATGATCATCAAGGATTAGGTCTCTGGAATGAGGTTAGACCTCTGGAATATCATTGCCAGGAGGTGAACTGGATGATGTAGACCAAGAGACAAAAAAAATAGATATGTACTTTATAGGTAGTGAAAGTAGTTGAGTAATACACTTGTACTGAGATGAAAGTAGTTGAGTAATGCACATACCTTCAAGAATGAAAATTGTTGAGTAATGCTTACTTGTCAAAATGAAAGTATAAGAACTTGCTGAATTTAGTGCTGGGGTCCTTGTTGAAACCCGCTGTGTCAGGTGGGTACCTGAACCCCAACTAGCTGGAACAATAAACCTCACTAAGTGATTTGCACTATGGACTCTGTCCTCTGTCTTTGAGGGGTGGTTGACTCTGGATTCTAACAAACACTGTCTTCTGGTTGTTCATCGATTTGCTTGAGCGGGCCCAGTAACATCTCCATTGTGAGACTTCTTGTTACTCTGTTTGGCATATTGAATATTCTTGGTAGCTTGTCAGGCTCTCCAAGAGGGGCAGAGGAATCTAACCTGGCTTGGTCAGGCTGACTACGTGCAAGGCAAACGCCCTACCACTGTGCTATTATTCCAGCCCTGGACTCTAACAACAACATACGCAAAATAAGTGTTCAATATTGAGCCATATCCCTGACCTCTAGAGAAGATCTTTATTCCTTTACTTAATATCCTAGTTGGGGTCTCAGAAGATATACAGGGAAAATACATGGTAATAGATGATCTTTAAAAATTGAATTAGATATAAAATTTATTTCATATCTACTATCATTAGCCTCTAAATGAAAACAGGATTGGAATAGGTTGTTTTACAGTCAAAGACATAACTCAACAAGTCGAGTGCATGCTTAGAATGTGAGGACTCAGGGTCAGTTCTCAGTACTACGTGATGTCCCCAGGCTCATTGAGAGCACAGCCCCTAGGCACCACTAAGAGTGGTCCAAACTTCCCTCCTCCTGAAGCAAAAGAGTTTTACCAAAATTTTAAATAACAGTTTCTTTCTCATGCTTCCTCCCACACCTTCCTTCCCCCAACACACTATATAGTGTTTTCTCCCCTTCTTGTGGCTGTAGCTGCTGTGTTTTCTGGGGGGGGGGGGGGGTCACCTGCATGGCTGCTGTTCCCACACATTAGATTGGAGCATACTCTGAGAGGTAAACACTCATGGGGGGATGGGAGAACGAGAATCACAGGGCAGGTGGCATGAGGATTGAACTGATAACACTTCAGGATGGTAAGTCATTGCCACCAAACCACAAGGGGATAAGGGGGTTTAGGGAACACCCAATTCCAGTCCACTCTAGCCATCCTGTCCAGCCTGGGAGGAAGGTGGGAAAAACTGACATCCCAGCTTTGCAGCTTGACAGCTTAGAAATACTTGTAAAGAGGAAAAGGATCACAGAGAGACAGGCCTACTGAAGGAACGGTAAACAGGGACCCCTCCCCACTGGTGATGGTGTGATGTTGGAATTATGTATGTGAGAAATTATCATTAACAATATTGTAAATCACGATCACGACCATCCTGTTGTTTGTCGATTGCTTCGATCAGGCCCCAGTAACGTCTCCTTCATCCTAGCCCTGAGATTTTTTTTAAAAAAGTGCCATATTCAAGGCTCTTTCAGGGTTAGGAGAATGAGACCCATCATTGTTACTGGTATTTGGCATATTGGTACTCCATGGGGAGTTTGCCAGACTCTGCCGTGTGGGCAGGTTACTGTGATTGTAAATCACAATACCTCAGTCAATAAAAATAGTTTAAAAAGAAAACAATAACAGTAACAATAGGTGTCCTGTCCCCCACGACTCACCATAGGAATCAAAGTCCTATTTACTACGGTTCCTTTGAACCCTTCAAGTATTTGGTGACCAAGAAAAATTTACAAGACATCCTGAATGAGAATACAATTCTTTTTGAGTCCCCCTCCCACAGTGGCTGCTGTGTTGAGCCATACACAGACTCTCCTCTACTGATTCATGACTCAGTCCCTGAGGATAAGCAAGATGAGCAGTAGAAAGTCATAGACACACCAGTCTCCACGCTGAAAACTCTGGGGAGTCTTTGAAGGGGGGGGCGGGCCAAGCGCCTACCCTACCAATGCCCAGGCAGCCACAACAAGCTACACCCATCTTTGCTGCCATGCCAACGGCCCAACTTCACCGCTCCAACTGATAGTCTCTGGCGAAGACACCAAACTGAGAAAATTCCAGGGACTCAGTGTTCAGGCTGAGAACTCTGGGGTCTTCCCAGAACACATGTGGGCAGCCCACTATATGCCCACACCAGCGCCCCACCCCCTATACCCTGACCACCTCTCACCACTGCTGCCATGTCAACTGATCAGCCCAGTTCTTCAAATCCTGAACTGTCCGAGCTTCCCGGCTGAAGACTGAAAACAGGGGAAAATGTCCAAGGACTAAAACGTACAGTGTGACAGACAGATAAGGATGTAACTAATTGGTAGAAGACATGTTTTGCAAGACCCTGGATCAGGTTTCCAACACAAACAACACACACAAACACACACACACACACACACACAGGTGTAACATAAGCCTAATGGGAATTGAAAGGAGTCTGAAACAATCATGGCTAAAATTTCCTCTCAAATTAATATCAGACACTAATCCACAGATCTCATAAGAACAAATAGAATCTGTATGCTCTAATAAACAAGGTAGACAATTAGAACAAACGGGCAATGCAATTGTAATTGGAGAGAAATTCTAAGAAAGAACAACAAAAATAACAAATGCTATAAAAAATACGAATGCAAAAGAAGAATGTTTTTGTTTGTTTGTTTGTTTGTTTGTTTGGGGATCACACCTGGCAGTGCTCAGGTGTTACTCCTGTCTCAGCACTGAGGAATCATTCCTGGCAGGCTCGGAGCAACAAATAAAATCAGTATGAACATGATCATTTAATCTTAATGTATAGGAAATCAAAGATAATAAAAAATCTGCAAAAAAAAAATCCAGAGGTTAAAGCCCATGTTACTTATAGAAGAAAAACAAAAATAGCCAACTTCTCAGAAATCATGCTAACAAAAGTCCGGTGAATTACTTTTAAAAATCCAGCTATCTAACCCGACATTAAGGATACCCAAGAGTGAAATTCTTATGTCTGCTTCCTGCCGTTCTCTTCTTTTGTTTGTAGACCAGTGGGCAGAAAACTCTTTTCATAGTTTAACTTTTCTACTCCGTGTTATGCATTTTGGGAGGAGGTCTCTTTAAAATCTTAACATTTTTAGCTTACTGGACTTCTACAATAACTTTGGTAAAGACATTTCCAAAATTCTTTCCATTCAAAAAAACCAATCAGTTTTCCTTAGCTCCTCCTTCAAGCAGGGAACTCTGAATTATGTAGCTCATGTAATCGTGAATGTCTGAGGTAAGAAATGGGTTATTGGCTGACTAGGCTGAACAGACTCCCTGCTGAGGGGCTAGATCATGGGAATTTTGTCCGAACAAGATTTTATGAATAGTTCCTAAGCCTAGCAGACAAGAGTGCTGTGGGGATGTCGTTTAAAAAAGGGCGTAGAAGACCTGGTATTATACAGGGGCCAGGGACATCACTAAAGGTTTGGCACACATGCTCCAGCACCTCTTGGCCTCTGGGCCACTGCTAAGAGAACGGCTGAGGACCACCCAACCCTCTATCCACAAATAAATTTAAAGTCTCGTTATGCTTCCACAATACCTACCGATTTCAAAACTGCCATCGATAACACCCACCAGTGAAGAAGGGATATCAAACCTCCTCTCTATCTGAGTGATGGTGCTCTTCAAATAACCTTCTGCCAGGGCTTTGGCAAAGTAAACAAAAGATAAGGCACCCAGGAACACCTGGAAGATATGACAGATCATACATAGTCTGACTTCAGCTTGATACGCAATGGGAACGTCACTAAACAAAAGTGCCTGTCAAGAACAACACACACACTGTCACTGCAATCCATCAAGAATAACGTGACAGACCTATTCAAGAGCAAGGTGGCACGCTTGTCACTGCAGCCAGTCAAGAGCAATGAGATACTTTTGCTTCACTCGCTCACGGCTATGGACTTCCTTCAGCCTCTCATTACATCCCCAGAGCAAGTTCACTCAGAAATAGAGATTCTTTCAGAGTATATATGAGGATTCTTTTTTTCTCTCAAATTTTCATTTCCTTCATTTTTAAAAGAAGCTCTTCTTAAACATTTTCTACTCAAGAATTGTTTTTGCCTGAGAAATTTTCACGGGTTCCTGAGTATATAAAATAGATCAACCAAATACTTCCTGCTAATCATAAAGTCATTTATTTAGTTAATTTTAAAAAATATTTTGCTTTGGGGGCCATACTGGTTGGGCTTACTCCTGGCTCTGTGCTCAGGGATCCTCTGTAGCTGATGTAGGTGCCCACCAGACCACATGGGCTGCTAAGAATGGAACCTGGGTCTGCTGTGCTCAAGGCAAGATTTCACTGCTGTGCTATTTCTACAATTCCAAACAATAAATTTTTTTAAAAAAAATCATAAAAATGTAAAGCCAGAAAAGAGATATTTAGTCATTTAACCCACATGATCTGGCCACTTGCTTTCAGAGACAGATTTCTGCATCCAAGATATCATTCTAAACAAATGCAAATTTCTGGTCTTCACTGCATCACACAATGATATTACCCAGTTCTTTGTTACTCCACCTTTAGTTCCCCACAGCAAGGCTGTTTCTCTGAGGAGGAGGGATATTCTGATTTGCAGGAAGGTCTTTCAACAGGATGCACGGAAGTTTTGCAGAATAACTGCATATTCTCTCTGGATGAACTGTCCATTATGAAAAGGCTCTTCACTCTGATCTGTCAAAGTCAATTTTAAAAGTAGATGATTTGTTTAAAGAGCACTTTATTCAAATCTGCAGTTTACTGAACGTTTTTAATTCTACAGTAAGTGCTGTAGACAGTTTCTATAGACAGTGTTTGATGTGAAGCCCCTAATTTCACCACAATAGCTTGGCAAAATTTTTCAATTAAAATCTACCAGGATATTTGATGAACTAATTCCGCTACGGAAACGCGGTAGCCCAGTGATCCTTCTCAATTCTTTCAGTTTAAGCCCCATTTATGGCAAAGAATAAATTTAAAGGTTGCCTCTGGAATAAATAAAGAGGGAGAATTTTTCTAACTTTGTGGTCTTGCCAGCTTAACTAGAAGTGAGCCGGAAAGGAAGAAGAGGAACTCAACCATTTGAATATTGATTCATTAGAATTAAGTCCTTAAAATCTTTAAATTTGCAGTTTAAGAAAAATGGAGAGAAAAGATCAATGCTCATTGTAGGTCCTCTTCCCCCTCAGGATTCCAATGGGGCTGCCATAGACCAGCAGAAAGCTTCCAAGATGCCCCAAACTGAAAAGGTTCAGTTTGTGTATCCTGTTAGTTTGACAAATAGAATGCAGCATGCATGATTTATGACTCGAGCTTAGGTTTCATTCAAGTGAAAGTTGTCCCTGCCTTGCCTGAAAGAAAGATAGCTTTCCTGTCTGTGTTTAATTTTCTCCTCCTGCCTCCTCCTCCTCTTACCAAGCCCCAAGCAAGCCCACATGCTTCTCTCTCTCTCTCTCTCTCTCTCTCTCTCTCTCTCTCTCTCTCTCTCTCTCTCTCTCTCTCTGTTCTCCCATGCTACAACTTCCTTAGGAATCCAGGTTGTTTAGTACCTGATGGATGCAGGAGCCCAAAACTATATAACTTCTTTATTAGTACATGTAGGGCTATTAGCTCATGCACTTGCTGGCTGATGAGACTATCTGCTATTCTCACAGGAACTAGAAGAATAACCTTTTTTTGACAAATAATTTCCTTGATAACGAAATCACATTAAGACAGCACAAAACCAGAAAACACTTCAGACAGAATTTAGAGATGCTAAAGTACTAAATAAAATCCTAACAAATCCTAATTAATGAATAAACGTTTAGTTTAAAATGCAGACATTGAATCATTTAAGAAGCTTCACCCACCTAAATGATCACCTGCAACTTTCTAAATACGAAGATCTCACATAAGATACCTTTAGAGACATACAATTTTCTGTCAGTCCTCAATGAAGTTAGAAAAAAACAGAATTCAAAGTAAAAATTAAACAGAAATCTCAGTAGATGTATCATATCAGGTGATATAATTTCTCATCATTTCTTAATTTATAAAAGACAGAATTCTAAGAAACTAAGAACCAAAGTGACCATGTACCTGACAGTAATTGAATCTGAAATCGTTGAACATAATTTTGCCAGAACAATAGAAATGGAGTTTAGAAAACACTGTTATGTAATGCTAAATAGTTTTATTTACTATAAAACTACTGAAAACTTTATCAAACCCTGGGCTTCATCCATCAAAGGCTCTACAGTCACACTCCCTTTCTCTGAGCACTTTAAACAAACTCTATTTAAATAGACACCTATTGCTGATAATTAAAAAATAAATAAGTACTGGTGAGATAGTATAGGGGATAGGACCTTGTTTTACATGCTGCTGATCCCAGGTTTGATCCCTGTTGCTGCATCATATGACTCCTGAGCGACACCAGGAGTGATCCCTGAGCAGAGAGCTAGGAGTAAATCCTGAGTACCACCAAGTGTGACCCAGAACCCATCCCAAACAAAATAGAAAAATATAAGGAAACAACCAAAATGTCCAAAAATTATAGTATTCATACAATGAAATCTTTGAAGCCATTAAGAATCAGTATCATAACAAAGTACAAGGTAAATATCATTATATAGAGCTATTTTCATGACAGAATTTATTTTGAAGTGAAGGCAACCAAGAAGTATAGATGACATTCTAATTTATAAAAGGAACATTGATGTATGGAAATACCTAGGAAGAAGGCTTCAGAATAGTTTATTTTTTTAAAAAAAGTTACCATTCATATTTCTAGATGGTGAGTTGCAAATGATATTTGGTAGGGGTGGGTAAAAGTATACCTGGAGATGCTCAGGGTCACTCAGGTTACTCAGGAATCACTCCTGGCAGGCTTAGAGAACCATATAGGGTGCCAGGGATCTAATCCTGGTCTGCTGAGTGCAAGGCAGGGGCCCTACCCATTGTAATATCTCTCTCCCTTTGGCCCTGTAAATGATTTTTAAAAACTATTATGTGTGTTCATATTTTTTAAAAATTTTTAACAATGAGCACACATTTCTAATATAAAACATTTAGACATAAAATATCATTAAATAAAAATAGATAAACCAGACATATTTTTAAATAGTTCAGTTTTACAGTTGGCATTTTTAATTTAAAATGCAAACATCTTCCAAAAGCTGACCTGTATGATTCAAACTGGCCTATTGTTTGAGAGGTTTAGTCTGTGTATTGTTTCCTTTCGGTCTTAACACTAAAACCAGTGAGCTGAAAATACAAATAAATGATTGAATAAAAAATATACTCTCATTTACACAAAAAGTATCCTCTGATTTTTTTCTTTTGAGAGACCACAGCTGGCGATGCTCAGGGCTTAATCCTGGTATGATACTCAGGGATCACTGCTAGCAGTAATCAAACCAGAGTCAGGAATCAAACCGTAGTGGCTACTGCATAGAAGTCAGTGCCTTACCACTTGTACTATCTCTCTGGCCCCCATAGTTATCTTTAAAAATTGAATGGATAGCACAGCAGTAGGGTGTTTGCCTTGCATGCAGCCAACATGGCCGACCCGAGTTCGATTCCTCCGCCCCTCTCGGAGAGCCCGGCAAGCTACCGAGAGGATCTCGCCCGCACGGCAGGGCCTGGCAAGCTCCCCGTGATGTATTCGATATGCCAGACACAGTAACAACACAGTCTCCAATGGAGACGTTACTGGGCCCGCTCGAGCAAATTGATGATCAATGGGAGGGCCTTTACTTTACTTTACTTTACATCCAGAATGTAAATGCTAAAGAGAAGAAAAATCCTGCTGAAAGCAATATGAAAAGGAAAGGGCCCATTGCACTTGCATTATTTACTTTTATATTGCACAAATATCACTCCAGCCAGAGTTCAGAAGTTATAAGAAAAACAAGAGAACCCAGCCCTCCTCGCCCCTGCTATCTTAAGGCACAACGAAGACAATTTTTTTTTTTTGAAGCAGGATTAAAATATTGACACTGCTGAAAATAAGGTCACAGCCTCGCTTTACTGAGTCTATCATTGTATCTGGGGGGGGGGGTTTCTTTGCCTATTATCTCAAGTACAGTATCTCAATTATAGTATCTTTCAAGGAGGTGTCAATTTATCATCACTGTGAGAAGTTGGGGGGAAACTCAGTGAGCACTTTTTTTGGTCCGTTTGTTTTAGGATCACCCCTAGTGGTTGTCAGGGCTTGCTCCTGGCTCTGCATTCAGGGGTTACTTCTGGTGGACTCAGGCTACCATATGGGGTTCCATGATTGATCCTGAGTTGACTGGATGTGAGGCGAGCACCCTCCCTGCTTTCCTATCACTCTGGTCCCTGGGACATCATTTTTTAAGGTCCAGGTGCTTTCTGGGCTTCTCTCCTCCTCCTCCTCCTCCTCCTCCTCCTCCTCCTCCATCCTTCTCCTCCCCTTCCCCACCCCCTCTTTGCTCCCCTCCTCTTCCATCTTCATTTGCAATGGCCGAAGTGGAGCAGGAGCAGAATCGTAGAGAAAAATCTGTCTCAAGTCATTCCTTGTTCCATCCAAAGAGGCACAAAGGTCCCAGGCTGCCATCTGACTGATCCTGGAAATCAAGTTAAGATAAACCCAGCAGTCCCTCCCCCCCTCCCCCCGCCTTTTTGTTTTGTTGGGAAAAAAATGGAACTGTCTTCTCTCATGGATTAGGAAGTCATCTCCCATGCTTTAAGAGCCCACAGGGCTGAAACAGGTCACATTTGGATCTGAGAACTGCCCCGAGCTAGTGTGTAATCTTGGGGGCAGATCATTTAGCAGTCACCCCCCAAAGACTCCCATAGTGTCAGCATGGGACATCCTACACCTTCCCATTTTATCTTTCTCATTTCTGCTGGAAATGGCCTGAAACCCCACCAGCCTGGATGGTCTTCCTGGTAGCTGCTTGCTAACAAGGTCGGATGGCACTTGGAAAGCTTATTCCCAGCTTCCACCCACAGGTACTATTTCTGTGTCAGGTGACAGATACACTTCTTAAAACAACCTTCAAGACAACCTTCCAAAGTTGCTAACCTCTGGAACCAATCTCAACAAGGTGCCACTCTAGTTCCTTTTTCAGAGACAGCTCAGAACAGTGAAGTGACATCTGACAAGTGACCCCAGTAATGGAAATCAGGGTTAGCATTGGCTCACACTCTTCAGGTCCTCTGGCTTCTTTCACCCAAGTCTCACCTAGCCAGAGGCCTTGGAGATGTGTGCTGGATCTGACCCAAACCTTGCAGAACCTAAAGACTTACTAATCTCGCTCCTGAAACATGTGACGTGATGGTCACAAAATGTGAAGGGCAGATCACCCGACCTTACCTGCAGGTAGAGCCGGCTCCCAAGGTGCTCCGGAAAGGCTGGTCCACGACTGAAGGAGAATCCCACAGGTGACCTCTACAGCTGCGTGGAGCAGTCTGGCTAGCTGGGGAGTTCCAGGGTGCTCTGGGTGCAGAAAGACAAGATGAAGGGCACAGGCTTCCCACTGGGCAATCTCTTCTCTCTCCCTCCTCTCCTCCTGGCCGCCTTTCTCTGGCAGGCAGCAGAGAGCTGGCCACGCTGGCAAAGCCCCCGACGTGCCTCTCAGTTCCCAGGGCACAGGGAGAGCTGAAGCCTTTGAACCATTTCTTTTGCAATTTGCTGAAGTTTAAGGCCACACGTGATAAAGCTTTCTTTATGGGCGAGAGGGAAA